TTTAATATATATATATTCAATAATATGTAATATGTTTAAATAATAAGATATTAAAATTAAAAATATAATGTTGTAATAAAAATCGATAAATGCTATAATAAAACAATTGTTAAAATAATAAGAAATATTACATCAGCTAGTATACGTGGACAACCTATGTGAACAGTGAGATGGGCCATGGAAACATGGTAAGGTGGGTAAAAGAACACTAATTTTTTTACTAAAAATTCTTTTTTATGTAAATTTAATCTCTCCGATGAACATCTCTTGTGAAATGGTTTCACCGCAAGTTTCATCGGAAAAATGTCGAAGAGGGTGAAAGGGTTGGAGGGAGAAAATGTCGGAGAAATGGTCTTTGTGAAACATGAACCCACCATGAACTAACCTCGTGACCAGATCTGTAAAAAAGCACAAGGGGATGGGGGTTCCGCCAGAGCTCTTTGCCTCTCTCACTGAAGTAGAGGTCAACCGGCGATACGCACAGATCTGTGCATATATACACACACAAGATACATGTTAAAGAAATAGAATTTAAACATATGTATATATACACACATTTGCAGGTTCCTCGGAAGTTCGCTGGAGTTTCGCCGGGAGGGACGAACAGACAAGGTTAGGAGACAAAAAATGATTTTTGTTTGTGTTGGCCCTTCAACTTTTATTATATACATTTTCATCCTTAATTTAAAAAAGGTCAACTAAAAATGTTGTTAAAAAAGGAAAATGGAAAAAGACTCTTATACCCTCAACTTGAACGGATCTGGTAGACGGTGGTTAAATGATAGGATCAAATCCAACAAAAATTAAATGCCACAAAGTAACAAATCTATAATAAATGAAGTCTAAAAAACCATTTTTCATAAAAATCAACAAAAAGAACTTTGTCCTTACAAAATCGGATTGAACGAGTGCATGGAACCCCACTCCTGTCCATGTAGGTGTGCCCCTGGGAGCTCGTCAAGAATTACGGTATGGAAAGGCAATCCAACAGTCCCAAGCGATAAAAATACTACTATTAGGGAGTCTCCTTATTTTGCAAATCATCTTATTAATACAAGTCATACGAACCAATCAGTTGAGATATTTATGAAAATTATAAAGTCTTATGATATAGATATTTAAGGAAGATGATCACAATTAATTCATCTAAGAAATAGTCGTTCACATTGATGTTTTTGAAGACAGATTCGATATGGGACCAGGGACCGGTTAAAGTTATCGTTAATCATATATGTTCAAATATAACTAATAATATTGTGACGTTTGTATTCCATGTTAGCTGGTATTTGACATTTCTAGTTTTTTTGTTCATTTAAATCTCCAAAAAATTTAGCAGTCAAATTTTAAATAGTAAGCAACTTTAAAAATCATCTCAATTGGAATTACAACTCAAAACTATTGCCCTTCCCAAATTTATTAGGCAAAATGTTCCAAATAAATGTTTTGAGAAGGGTAACTCCTATCGTAACTGTTTCATAACAATTTGTGTAATTAATTCCAGAAGTCGTTACCTTTTGATTAATAACTTAAATTGAGATGAATTCCTTATGTTACTAGATCAATTCTGAATCAACTTATCAAATCTTAAAAAAATTCCCCATTGATCATCAAAAAGACGGGTACTTTTAACAACAACAAAAAATGTCATAGTATGTAACGTTTAGACATAGTTTTCTTTAGAAAATGCAACAATTAGACATAATAAATATATTTTTATAACATTTAAATACCCGACTAACCGGGTGAAACATTAACAAGTTATCATGCTGATGCGACGAGTGGTGAGATAAAATTGGGTTGAATAACAAATAAAACTAAGTTGGATACTACATCACTCGCCACATCAGCATGATAACCGGTTAATGCTTCAACCGGTTACTTGAGTACTTAAATAGTTAAAATTTTACATCTTGGGTACCAAAATAAAAGTTTTTAAAATACGTTACACAAAATAGGAATCAAGTTAAAGGTACGTTATTTTTTAATTTAATTTGCTTTAAAATCATAAAACAACGGTTTCCTAGATCACATCATAGTATGTAAGGCTGTAAACGAACAGAACGTTCAGCGAACCGTCCGTGGACCGTTTGGCGGGGAGTTCGTTTATGTTCGTTTATTTAATAAATGAACGAACATGAACAATTTTTTTTGTTCGTTTAGTTAAACGAACATGAACAAGAGTCTCGTTCGTTCATTTATGTTCGTAAACGCTCGTTCATTTACCGTTCATTTATGTTCGTTTATATTCGTTCGTTTATGTTCGTTTATATATTAAATTTAATATATGAACTTTAATTTATTTACTTTGAATTCAAATAATATTTATTTATGTTCGTTTAACCCGTTCGTTTATGTTTGTTTAGCCTTACACAAAGATTTTATAGCCTTATTTCTAAACGAACGAACATGAATACAAAGATTTTCGTTCATTTACTATTCGGTTCGTTTACAGCCCTAATAGTATGGAACTAAGGCCGTTTCATCATAGAAACATTGAGCATACATTGACAAGGAGATAAAATTTAGTTTTACAAAATCAATCCGTCTTAACGTTTTAAAATCTTTAAAAAGGACATTGTAATATTCAAGGGCTTTTCGAATAAGCCCAAATTTTGTTTTATTTTTTAGAAATGGGCTTCTTATCTAGCCCAACCAAGATCATCGTTCATTTTCTATTTCTTTTCCTAATATAATCAGTTTAATGATATTTGAAATAGAAAGTAAATTTCATTTTATAAATATGGTTAGATTCCGGTGAGAAAGAAAGTTA